TGAGCCGGTGAGATTAGAACCGCTGAATTGCAGATAACAGTCAGCTGAAGTGGCCTGCAGTACTGCACCCTAACCACTGCGCCACCTCGGCTCTTAATAACATTCCCCTGAAAGGCTGTGGCAACTCGAGCAGACATCTGTCGGAATCTTCACAGGCTGCTTGTGAAGCCTTGTGGACTGTGAATGACCATCATTTACAGCCGTAAAAATAAAAGGCGGTTTGGGGGACTAAGATTGTGATTTATGCTTCCTCGGGAAGCCTACGTCAGGATATCGTGCAAGTAACACCCTCTCTCCTCTCCGCTGATCCGCAAAGCCAGAACCTCTGATCCGGAACCTCACGATGCAATGGCCATTTATTGTTGGCTTGTTGTCGCTTCTAACGGAACCGCTTTCTCTTCCGTGTCCAGAATCGCATGTGGCGAAAAACCCGGTCCAGAATACCTGGCAGCCGGTGTGTCGGCGTCGATCCCAACCGAAACTGGGATGCCGGCTTTGGAGGTGAGTTAGGCATTGCTTCTTTTGTTAGGCAGCGAGTTCTTGAATTGGCTGGTGCTGGTGTTAGATAGTCCTTGACTTACAGCAGTCCATTTAGTGACCGTTTGAAGTTACAACCGCACTGAAAAAAATGTAACCCGTGATGGTTTTCACACTTACAACTGTTGCGGTGTCCCCGTGGTGACGTGATCAAACTTTGGATCTTGGAAATTGACATGTACGTATGGGCCGGAAAATGCCCTGAAAATGGGCTGAAAAAAGCCCTGAAAAGGGAGCCTGCAGAGCCCAGAAAATGGCCAGTGGGTGGGTGCATGGGGCTTTGGCAATATTCGGACTATAAGACGCAGAGACCTTTTCACCCCCTTTGGGGAGACGCAAAAGTGCGTCTTATAGTCCGAAAAATACGGTAGTTGATGATTGGGGTCTCTGAATAAAAGCAAACCTTGGATTCTTCTTGTGTTCTGACGGGGTCTCTTTGCACTCCCACCCTGGCAGGGCCTGGCGCCAGCGATGACCCCTGTTCCGATTCCTACCGCGGACCCAGCGCCAACTCGGAAGTCGAAGTCCGCTCGGTGGTGGATTTCGTCAAGAGGCACGGAAACATCAAGGCTTTCATCAGCATCCACAGCTACTCCCAGCTCCTCATGTACCCCTATGGCTACACATGCGCCAAGGCCAAAGACGGGGCAGAACTGGTAAAGGAACCGAGGAGAGGAGCAAGCCTGGAAGGGGGGGGGAAGTTGAAGGGGAACATCTCTGCTCCCAAGGGAATCCAAGGGGTTCATTTCTGCTTTCCTTCCTAGGACACGGTGGGAAAATCAGCCGCCAACGCCTTGACCTCGCTGTATGGCACCCGGTATAGAGTCGGGCCCATTTGCTCCGTCATTTGTAAGTGTGTGGGGGGGTGTATTTCAGCCCGGGACTCTTTGGGGGGGGGAGGGGGTTCTAGGATATTTCTCACCCTTGGCAGCTTGAAGAGGTGTGGACTTCAAATCCTCTATGTATGTGTATGTGTATATGTATGTATGTATCAGTGGTGGGTTTCAACATTTTTTAAGAACCTCTTCTGTAGGTGTGGCCTGCTTTGTGGGAGTGGCTTGCCAGCCATGTGATTGGGTGTGCGTGACTTGGCAGTCATGTGACCGGGTGGGAGTGGCCAACTTGTAAAATGTGGTGAAACTCACTTTACAACGCTCTTGCTTAGCAGCCAAAATGTTGGCTCAGGAACTCTGGCATTTGAAGCATGCAAGTCTTAAAGCTGTCAAGTTACAAGACCCTTTCACCCCTAACCCTTTAGAGAAAAAAAACCCAGGGGTGTTCAAAGTTGACAGCTTTAAGACTTGTGGACTTCAACTCCCAGAATTCCTCCTCCAGTCATGTTGGCTCAGAAACTCTGGCATTTGAAGCACGCAAGTCTTAAAGCTGTCAAGTTCCAAGACCCTTGCCCCACTAATCCTTTAGAAAAAAAAAAAACCCAGGGGTGTTCAAAGTTGACAGCTTTAAGACTTG